TACTACTACTACTACTACTACTACTACGACTACTACTATTAACTACTACTACTAACTACCACTACTACGACTACGACTACTACTACTACTACTACTACTACTACTACTACTACTACTACTACTACTACTACTACTATACTACTACTACTACTACTACTACTACTACTACTACTACGACTACTACTACTACTTACTACTACTACTACTACTACTACTACTACTACTACTACTACTACTACTACTACTACTACTACTACTACTACTACTACTACTACTACTACTACTACTACTACTACTACTACTACTACTACTACTACTACTACTACTACTACTACTACTACTACTACTACTACTACTACTACTACTACTACTACTACTACTACTACTACTACTACTACTACTACTACTACTACTACTACTACTACTACCACTACGCGCCAGCACCCGGTTGCGCCAGCATTGTTTCTTATGTTGTGGGAGGGCGGAACGTGTCCGTTGTTCCTTTCAACATGGCCAGTCTTGTCGTCGACGATGCGAAATGCGTGGCGGGAATGGGACGCGGCGCACATCCCGCGCGGACGTCAATGCGGTGTCCTGGGGTATCCTCCACTCGCACTGAAATGCCCGCGCAGCCCCCAGTTGTGCCATCACTGTTTCTTATGTTGTGGGAGGGCGGGTGGGAATGGGCATGCCATGCTTGACTCGCTCGAGCTGGCTAGCTTGACCCCACCCCCCACCCCCACCCAGCCCTACGCTCTCCCACCTCCCCCCACCACCCCACCAACCCAACCCCCCACACCTGGCGGGGGAGTGATCAATCGACTCGATTACGACGTTGCTCGATTTCCCTTTGGCAGCATCGCTTGAGGGGGAGTGGCGACGACGACGGCGACGACGACGACGACGACGACGACGACGACTCAAGCGGAAAAGCTGCGCACACACGCCGACAGGGTCGGCGGATCTTTGGGCCAAGAACCCGTTCCCAAGCGCTGGTCGGCGGTGATCTTGGGGGGCGGGTCCTTTCAAAAGGCTCGGAAGTTCTCGGGCCTCCTGAGAGGCTTCTCTAAGCCTCCGCGGAGACACAGAAAACTGTTCAGAAGGCTGGAGGGCTTCTGAGAAGACTTGCCTTCCCTGCCTCGCTTGTCGCCGTGGTGGGCATGCCTCCAGGCGGCCCGACGGCCCCGCGGCCCGATGTGGCCGCGCGGCGGCGGCGGCCGGCGAGCACTCCCGGCCCCGACCCGACCCGACGAGGCCGCCGGCTTGCGGCAGGCCCAGGGCGCCCCCGCGGCGTTGCTGCGGCGCGCGCGGCGGGGCCGCGGGGGGCGCGGGGCGTACCTGCGGCAGGCGCGGCACCGCGAACGCGCGCCGCCGCCACCGCCGCCGCCGTCGTCCCCCTCCTCCTCCTCCTCCTCCTCCTCCTCCCTCCTCCTCCTCCTCCTCCTCCTCCTCCTCCTCTCCTCCTCCTCCTCCTCCTCCTCCTCCATCCTCCTCCTCCTCCTCCCTCCTCCTCCTCCTCCTCCTCCTCCTCCTCCTCCTCCTCCTCCTCCTCCTCCTCCTCCTCCTCCTCCTCCTCCTCCTCCGCCTCCTCGTAGCCCCCGGGCTCGAGAGATTGAGGCAGAGGGGCCCGAGCATCTAATTCAGTATTGAGCGCATGGCGCCCAGGTCGCGCGGCCGTATTTCCGCGACGGGGTGACCACCGACATGTCGAAGTTGAGGGTGATCGGCTGGAACCCATTGTGGGCGACTGGCGAACGTCTTTCGGAGGTCGTCAGCTGCACGCGCGACATGGATTTCACGCTCCAGGCTGGCACCCAGAACGTCTGCCGTGAGGCTACAAATGTTCTCCAGAGGCGGATCGGCGGTCGATTGGTCCTTGAAGCAGCAGCAGTTCGTGGCCTGTACACCAATGCTAGTGCGGGCATTTCCATCATACTCGGACGAGGATTTCGCGAACATCACGTTCGCCGTGTTTCCCCCAGCCCACCCGACCTGGGAGGCCGCTGCCCGGCAGCACGCGTGCGACAAGGTGTTGTGGATGTGTGTGGGCGCGTTCTACTTCCCCCCATCAGCCTCGCAGCCGCGGGGCCGCCACACTCTACACGCAGACTGTCGCCAAGATGATCCAATAATGGCGCGCCTGCTTCTGTCAGCTGCCAATTCGGTGCCTGCCCTTTTCAATGCTGATGTCAACGATGGCCTGGACTGCCGCAAGATCGACGGCGACTGGCAGAACTATGAGAGCAGCACGATTGGTCGAATTCGCACACGGGAACGGCGCCGACAGGGCGTTGGTGAGGCAGTTAGTGGTCTCTTGAATCAGCAGCACCTCCTGGCGGCGAACACGGTGCACAGATATGAGTCCACTTTCTTCGGCAGCGGGCCCGAAGGGCCCAGAAGTCTCATTGATTTCATCTCCCTTCCTCAGGGCTGGGCGCCCCGTGTCACCAAGTGCCATGCGCGCGCACGGTGGGCGCCCAGCTCCAGGACCAACGCGGACGACCTCCTCGAGACCACGTCCTTGTTGATCTTGAAGTTTCTCATCCTCGCGGACGTCAGGACTGCGATGACCATCCCGAGGTGCCCAAGTGGGACATGACGGCCCTCATGGCGGCGGTCAGGAACGGCGACCAGCGCATCGACTTTACCAATGGCATCGCCCAGTGGCTGACCGACCACACCGACGAGCTCACGTCGGCACGCGACCAGGACGCCCCCGACCACACCTTCGAGCTTCTCGAGCGCTGCATGGCCCAGGCGGGCGCAGAGTACTTCACCAAGCCGACGGACATACCCGACGAGCACGCGCACCGGGCGAAGCTACGACGCGACCTGCCCCAGCGGAGGATCGACATGTGCGCGTCGCGCGTGAACGATGAGAAGTTGGCGCAGGTGGAGCAGGATCTTCGAGAGTTCTCCCAACGCCTTCGTCTACTTCGACGCATGCATGTTCGGGCGGTAGGGGGGCCCTACGCCCAGGCTTCGCGCGACGCGTGGGCCCAGCGGAACTTGTGCGAGGCGATGGGGCGGGCCCGTCGCGCGGCCCGCTGCCGCTTCTCGGCCAGAAAGCGGGGCGGCCGACGTTTTGGCGGCACACCCATCTCCCATGCCGATCGGCCTGCAGTCTGGACTCTTCCAGGCGGCGATGGCGGGGCGCAGGTTAGCCCGATCGACCTCGCTGCCTGGCGCGCCACTCGAGACGTGATGGGGTTTAGCGCAACGCGCGATATCGCCCGCTACGAGGATCGACCCCAACAGCTCGGACATCGAGACATCAGTCGCTTTTGCAGATGCGTTCGTCGGGCCCCGAACCGTCGCGCGGCACCAAAGGGATCGGCCCCGCTTGGGCCCCGGAGCACGGGGCGATGAAGATTGGGATTGTTGGTTTGATATCTCTGCATTGGAACGCGAGTCGGGATGCGCCTTGCACAAGTCGGCCCAGCCTGGGCCCAAGGGGAGGAGGGCGGCCCACGCGTCGCCAGCGGTGGGCGGGGTGGGGTGGGGGGAGATCCTTTATCGCTGGGTTCTTGCCCAATGAACTACCCCCCGAAGATTGCGGATTTCAGCGTCGCCGCCGTCGGGAAGGGGCCATCTTGGCTTCGCAGGTGGCGGGCTGGAGACTCCGACGGGCGGGGTGGAGTGTGGAAGCTAGTTTGAAGGATATGAGCAGCGCCTTTAGAAGCTCTAGCTGGGTGGCCATGGATCAGACCATATCTACCTTTGCACAGCCCGAGCACGCGGCTCTTTGCAGGAACGCGCATCGCGACGCGGTCGTCCTACTTCCCAGTGACGAAGGGGATATAGCAGTCAAGGCAGGAGTGGGAGGAGTGATGGGGGGGCCCGTTCATGGTCGCCGTCTTTTCCACGACGTTCAGTCGCCGCGCGCAGATGTGGACGGGCGCCCTTCGCGGGGCGGACCCGTCGCCCATACTCCTGCGCGCTGAGCGGGGCGGCCACGAGGTCGACCGAAGCCTGTTCAAGTACGCTGATCACCTCTACCGCCATGCCCTCATTGCCCTCGGAGACTCCACGGGGGCCTTTCTAGCCAAGCTGAAAAATCCAGATGTTTGCTTCGACTCCTTCCCCCAGGACTACGGGCGCAAACAAAACCGAGGCGAACAGGAATTGGCGGCGTGGATTGAGGGGGGGAGGGCCCTGTCCTGCACACGGTGGCTCCGCGGACGGGCCCTTCTCTCTGGGGGGCTCAAGGCGGAGGCGAGGCATCTCGGGCCCCGCATCTCGATGTCCCAGGCGCCCAGTCAGGAGATTACTCGACGGCGCCGGGCTGTTCGGTCCGCCTTTTATTCATGGGGCGGCTTTTGCTCTCTGCGACAGCCTTGGAAGCTCACGCGTTCAACTTTATGTCTTTGGCTCAGAATTCAGCGCTCTGCGGCTTGAAGGCTTCTTTGGTTACCAGGCAGCAGCGCGCCCGACTCGACGCCACGGCGGCGCGCTACGCTCGCGCGGCGACGCGCGGCAGGGCCAGCTGGAAGACCGAGTCAGGAGCGACCCGCACTTTGACGACACAATGAGTTCCCAAGCATTGGCGCATCTGCGAGTCACATGTCGAGCTTGGGATCCGTTGCTTAAACTGGTACAAGGTCCAGTCCCGCTACCCCACCTGCCACCTCCAGCCCCCCCCCCCCGCCCTCTTCGGACCCGAGCCTTTCGAGTCTGGGCCCGGCCCCCTGGTCGATGGCGCGCTCGCCTCTACGGCCCCCGCGCGGGCTCGACGAGTTGTTGAAGACCTTTAATGGGCTCGGGGGCTCCTTCCAGACCACCATGACCTCCTTGGCTCTATTGCGCCTCGCCCCTATCCCCCGCGGGGCTCAGAGGTTCAGGCCGAGTTCGAGAACATCGACGTCGCGCCCATTCGTTCGAGCGCGTTCGTTCCACGACTCGCGCCCCACGAGTGCACGGAAACAGCCCCCGAGGTCCCTCCTGGAGAAGTCGAGTAACCCGAGGCGCCCCAGCTCGCACGTCACGCTGAAGGTCGCGGGGAGCGGTTCAATACCAAACACGGGCTTATGGCACACATGGGATTACAACATGGCTACAGATCTCTCTGCCGCGTTCTGACCCCCTGCAACGCTTGCATACTCTGCCGGGGGGTCTTCTGGGACAGGGCCTGCACGGCACATTGCATTAGCTGTGCAACGGGTGCATTGTCGTTTCGGTGGGGGTAGGACGCTTCGACCGCCGGCGCCTCCGTCGCCCCCGCTGCGCCCCCCGCGTGAGTTCGAGGCTTCGGACTTGGACGATTTGCGCCGCCATCTACGCGGCCACCCCCCCGGCCCAGCCCCCCGCATCGCCGCCGCCCCGCGGACACCCCTCGCGCCACCTCTGGCAGCGGCGGGGGCGACGGCGGCGAGCTGGACGCTGGAGCCTTCGGCGACCCAGAGACGCGGCGCAGACGCGGCCCGCGGCTCGGCGCCACCAGCCAAGCAGGCCGCCAAGGCGAATCATAAGGAGAAGAAGGGCGACCTCCACAACGCGCTGCTGGAGGCGGCGGCCCAGCTGCGCCTCGACGACGCAGGCGCAGTCTTTCGGACCTGGGAGGCGGTGGAGTCCGAGGGCACGTTCGCCGGGATCCTGATAGACGCAAGTATCAAGCACGACGAAGTATCCAAATGCCTCAAGGAGCACCAGCAAGGAGGACAAAAAGTGGACCATCGCGCAAGGGGGCCACCGCGCGTTCAGCTGCGGGGAGCGCTCGCGGCGAACCTCGCGAACACCCTCGGCTCGTTCCTAGACGGGGACGACACCTACAAAGAGAGCGAGAAGAAAGCATGTCGGGCTTATTTCCAGGAGCACCTGGCCAGCAATACCCCCACCGACGCGGCGAAGCACGTTCTCCATTTCCGCCGCAGGAAGTTCGACGGGGGGAAGAACCAGGAGGAGGACGGCCAGGAGAAGAAGGGCAGGCTCACATTCGCTTCCTCGCGCGACGAGCCAGGGAGAGAGGCCAGGTCGCTGCCGATCCAGTTCTTGCGCCCATGTCGGGAGGCGCGAGAGCAGGGCAAGCTGAGAGCGGCCCCCCTTCGAGGCCGCTTCCGAACGCGCGGCCCGCGAAGGCCCCTCGGCCGAAGGGGGCGGGGCGGGGGGGCGACGCCGCGCCCGCCCAGCGCCTGTCGGCCGAACGGGCTCGGAGAAGAGCATAGCGACGCAGCTCACGGGGCCGGCACCGCGCGGGCCGCTCGAGCGCGAAGCCGCGAAGCCCCCCGCACCCATCGAGGAGGGACACGGCGGCGAGGACAAGAGATTCGAGCCAGGAAGCGCGGGGCATTGAACGAGGGGGAGGAGACAGACCGAGCGAGGTTAGAACGCTGAGTAGAAGAGTCTTTGAG